AATAATTCTATAATAAAAGTATTTATTTTTACAGCAATAAATTTTGTCCTATTTCATCTCAAAATTTAATAGATAACCCACCAAAAAATTTATCCTACCCCCTCAAAAAATAGGATGCAGGTATTAAATTTAGTATTAAGTAAATATATCAAACTATAATCATGCGATAATGTAATATCCCTTCCTACCCAACCAGCTCATGTAGACGCTGAATTGGCTTGATGTGAACGTAAGTGATTTTTTATATAATGCGAAATTATTGAGTTTTTTCTTTCTTACATTTAATCATATATAATCTTATTCAATAAATATTAGCACGATAAATTGATCGAGAAAATATTTAATCTTATATAAATTTAAACTGATAAACATGAGTCAAATGAATATTATGAGTATATTAATTTGAATTTATTATGCTTATATTTAGATTTATATGATATAAATACTAGTGTCAGTATCTACTCCAGTGTTACTACAGGTTACTTTTCAAAAGTAACTAGTTACAGTTTATGGTTACTTTCTATTAAATAAAGAAAATGGGAGAGCTATCAATATAAAAACGTAATTAAATAACATATTTAAGATCCCCAAGAAGAAGGATTCTGTACATGATAGTTGCTTGCGACAGAAATGTTCCTTTTATTATATAAAATATCTTATATTACAAAATAATTTTATAAAATCAATATGAATAATTCTTCTCCTTTTAACGTGAAGAATACACGAATGAATACACGAATGAATAAAAATAATAATTTTTTAAAATTAATTACAATTCGAGATTATAAATTAATAATAAAATAACTTTCGGATGATAAATAAATATGTATCATGACAGGACAGGACAGTTCTATCCACTTAATAAAATTACTGATTACATCTCCACTCTTAAAATTTATCTCCAGGGCCTCAGTTAGTCTTGATGCCTATAATACTTTATTCCGCCTAATATTCTTTAACTCCTATACTCCGAATTTTCAATCACTTCTTCCACCCATCCAATGGCCAGTTACTTCTCCTTAGAGACAATAAATAGTTTAACATCCTGTAGAGATTTGAATATTGCCAGCATACCTTAACCAACCTCAAAAAATGGAAATTTCCTTCCTCCAAGTCACTAAATCCTTCTCATTCCTACTATCATCAGAAATTAACTGATATACCCTATAATTCACTATCTCCGTACTTTTCTTACTTCAGTCACGACTTCATCAAATAAACCATTCTCTAGCTTTTGATTACTTGAGGTTAGATTCATAAGTTATAATCTATCTAATTTTTAAATCACTCTATGGCCAATTTGGAATGAGGAAACAATATTTCTAAATTTTGGTATTCTCATATAAAATTACATTCTCAGAATAAATTTAAGCATTGCTACATTTATCATCTGCCAAATAATTGTTTTCATATTCTTTGGTAAACTAATAATTTATTTTAAGAATAGATACTGCCGATTCTAAAGAATATATCTAACTTCTTCAGAACATCGATTTTTATCAATTCATAGCACAATTTCAGAAGGACTTCAAAGTAATTTTTTTCACTGCCCGAGCTCAACCCTAGCCCAAATATATTGCCCGAGCCCTACCCGAGCAAACATTTTTAGATCCAACCATACTCCCGATTTCAAAATATTTTTAAATTTAAGCATAAATTTTAAAATATCTAAGAAACAATTGAAAATTATATGTATATATTCACATATTGCAACCTTTTTATATTTAACCTTATAATTTAATCAACATTTTTTTAAATTTATTAATATATAAAATTTTTTCAGTTTAATTATAAAAAATAAAGTTAAATAGGATAGAATTAAAAATTTATTGTTATTATATATTAATAAGTGACATGGTTGTGTCATAAAAAGATCATGTAAATGTGTATATAGAAAAAAAAATTCTAGAAAATATAATAATGAATATATTTGAAAGACATATCAATATCAGTTTTTGATTGACATTTTTGTGGAAAAGATATTTATATTATTGAATATTATTTATAGGGTATGGCCTCAAGTCTGGCACATTTTACAACCCGCCCCGGAGCCCGAGGAAGATTTTTTCATCCGAACCCTAGGAGTTCGGATATCTTGTGCAGACTTCTAGAGGCGTCTCTAACTTTTTACAAAAGAAAGTGTTAAAATTTATAATATTTTTTAAAATTTCTATAATTTTTCAAACTCTATTTATATATAATAAATAGGGGGTGAGCCATTTTACCCATGGCCATACCCCCTTTGGCGCGCCTTAAGTCGGCTGTTTCCCATAGATTAATAATCTTCTAATTAATTATATTAGCTAATCTAAAAAATATCTTAAACAAATGTGGAATCTAACACAAATGCCTGACATTAATAACTAATAAACAAATCCATAAATGACCCCAAACTAAAAGTTATATCTTTTAGATTTTCTTATCAAAAATTTTGGAAAAATATTTTAAACCAATTTCGTCCCTTGATTTTGGATTTTTTGGGGAATTAAAATGTAACCGAAAATATGAACAATAAATTAATTGGAAATTAAGCACAACATTTTGTATATACAATAATTAGTTTAATGAATCTTAAAATATTCCATTTTTAGATTTGTTTTATTTTGATGTCTAGAATAATTTAATAATATTACGTGATACGTGATAAAAGCGTTTTCGCCCTCTGGTTGTGGATACAACAGAGCTACGCTAGGGTTTCCTCAAAAATCCATCAAACTGGATAGTTAATTTAGGGGAGAAAAAAATGAGGAGCCCTTCACACGTTTGTGGGCAAGCCGCACGTACTTGTACGCGCAACAGTCCGAGAACTGTCGCTTAAACGTCTATAGGCTAATCAACAAAAGAAATGGGCAAAACAAAAGCCTATACCCATGAACTGCCAAAATAATTTAATTACTTTAAAGGTGGGTGGTGGCTAATTTTAAGTTTAACATCTAATGTAAGCCTTGATAGTTACTAACAAATAATTGAGAATGTGTTCATATCAATTGAGATTAGAATTTATTCATGAAAATAAGGAAAAGCTAAAATGGGTTTACCACAAATTGTTTAAAATAGATGAAAATTCCAGTGAATAGGCAAAAACTAGTCAGTAATCGGTTTATGACTATCCAGCAACGAACACCACACAACAAACGGTTATTTTTTCCTTTTTCCAGAGAAACAAAATACTCTATGGAGTGATAGATAGATTTTATAGCGAAAAAGGTCTTTGATAATGATAAAGATATGAGAGAAAGGAAACTATGATGCAGAAATAGGAACCAGCTCCGTAAGTTTTAGGAAATGGAAAAGTAATTGTTGGCCAGGATTAACAAAAGGCATTTTGGCTTGATTGTTATATGATAGTCTATCACTCACGGAAAGACTCTACCAACAAAACATATTTACAAACCTCGCCACCCCCCGGTCGACTGGTTTCTCCATAAATGAAATAACAAAAGACTAAGAAAAAAACACTAAGAAAAAGCAAAGCTCCAGGGCCAGATAATATCACAGCAGAAAAACCAAAAAATAAATAGCATCTATAACAATATCGCTACCTATTTGCCCTCATTTAATAGAAATATGGGAGAGCGGAACTACTGCAGTGGGATGGATCAAAATCCTACCTAAGGAACTACCCAAAAAACTAAGACCACAGAAATTTAAGGCTTATTGAGCTATAGCCATCAAATCCTATAGCATCACACCAAAATACATAAGTATATACAGGCCAAGAAAAGAAAATACTGGATCCAAAAATTAATTTAGAAAAATAATCATGCAGAAAAACTAAGTACAAAACCCCCTTCTGCTTTACATTTGTGAAATTATAACTGAGCTATTGATAATGTTAACCATGCAGTTTTTTCAGAAAATAAGATAAATAAAAGATGAAGTCAGTGAAGTAAGTAATTCACAGAAAAGGTGAAAGACAAAATCAAGAGGTAAAATTGAGAGATGAAGAAATTAAATAACCTGAAAAAATCCAGAAAAAAAATTATGAGAGGTTTAGGTAGTTCGATTTAATTTTTAGTAGTTTTTTTTATAGATTTTTTGTTTTTATTTAGCCTTAGGAATTGCTTCAAATTTAAGTTAAGATCCATTATGTCCTTCAAGGCTCTGTAGAATTATAATGTCTTATATTTGCAATATGTTTTCCCATTAAAGGAGTATAACCAATTAATGGCATCAATAACAAGGCTATTGTTGCTATGATTTCTTAAAATATGGGCAAAGAAAGTAAGACGTTTCTTTTTTAAAGACACGTGAACCTGGGTATGGTAATTATCAATATATTATATACCATTTTTTTCATAAATAATTTATTTTGATTTTTCACTATTTTGTTTTTGCTTAAGGCAAAAGGTAGGTATAATAGTAAAATAATTTACCATATATTATGTTCCTTTTTTTTATCTTGCATATTTATAGCCCTTTATTTATCACATAGTTTATATATTTATATATCAATTATTCTAAATTTTATCTAATAATGATTAAATAATTAATTTTATCAATTACATTTCCATTATCTTAACTTTAAATTGGAAAAAAAATATTTACAATTTTTTTGCTAGGAATTATATTGTGCACCACTCCTTAATACTTTAAAAAATATAATTAAAGGAAAAGGGGAGGGGGGGGGGTAATTTTTTATAAGGGTGAGGGAGTATTTATAAAATTTTTACCATCAATAGTCTTATTCGCTTAATATGTTATTTACAGATATCTTAAAGATGGAGAGGCTTTGCTACACATATATTAACAACACTGATCATTTAAATTCCAGTAAAATATAATAAATATTAAATAATACATCAAATCTTATATAATTTAATTTTTATATATACAAATAGATATATAATATAAAATGTAACCGAAAATTTTTTTATCATTAATAAATTTCCTAGATTATAATAAAAAAAAATAAATTTTTAAATAGTAGCCTAGAGTTTACTGGTTCGATTTGTAGCGTTTAAAGTTTTTTTATTGAAAAAATTATTATCTTGCTGCAAACGGATTGGATCTGAAAATTTGTTTTTATTTTTATTTATCATACATAAAAAGGATTGATCATTCCTAATAATAAAAATCTAACATAATGGACGCGCTTAAAATATTACAACCAGCTACTTATTCAACAAATATCAATTCAAGATCCAAGTTTCAACGAATGCCTAATAGAGAGCCAGAATTGGTATTTACATTTTATTTATTTTTTAAATTATAATTAAATATAACAATATATGGTTTAGATGGATACTGATGAATATAATAGCAAAAGAAAGGAGGGTATCAAAGAATATTACATATCAAAAATTGAAGAACTTCAGGTAGAAATTATTATGTATTTTTTAAAAAATATTTACAATTTGAAAAAAAAAAGTTGATTGTAGCAGAAAAAACACAAAATTTGAGAAGGTTGCAAGCACAAAGAAATGAATTAAATTCGAAAGGTATTATATATATTTTTATTATACTCTTTCTTATATAAATTTTAGTGCGTTCTCTAAAAGAGGAATTACAACTTTTGCAAGAACAAGGATCATATGTCGGAGAAGTAGTTAAAGCCATGGATAAGAAAAAAGTGTTAGTAAAGGTGAGTTGAAATTCAATTTATATAAAAAAATCACTTTTTTAGTTAATAATTATTTTTTAAAATAAATTTATCGCACCTTGACTTATATTCAATCAAATAAAAACCTTTGTTTACATATGATAAATTTAATGTTCATATTTTAGAAATAATATCTCATTCTATAGCAAAGTTAATTTAACATTATGAATGTATAATTATACAGGCATTTCATTAATTACAAAAATTTATGCTCTTCCTACAATACGTGTATTTTATAACTATCAAATTAAAAGAAACAGCTGACTTACCAATTACAAAAAAAAAAAATTTTAATAATTGTAAATTTAAATAAAAGAAGAAATATAACTAATTTGATTTGATTTATTTATTTAAAGTTCTTATGTAATTAATTTATTTTTTATTATCCATCATTTATTTAAATTATATTTACACAACAAAATTTTTACTTAATTTATCATGTTACATTCAACAAACATTTGTTTATACACTTACAATTTTTTGTATCTTTTTTATTTTAGGTTCACCCTGAGGGAAAGTTTGTCGTGGATATAGATAAAACTATCGATATAACCAAAGTGACCCCAAACTCCCGAGTTGCTTTGAGAAATGACAGTTATACCCTCCACAAAATTTTACCTAGCAAAGTTAGTGTTAAAAAAAACATTTTTAAAAGAATATTTTTCCCTTTTTTTTCTTCTTCGATATTTAATTTATTCATTTAGCCGACTACTAATAGCTTAATATTATTAATGGGGTTTTACTAGTGTTGTTTAAACAGGTCGACTTGAGCCGATTGCTAAAAACAGCTGACTCAATATTTTAGCCCGAAATATATTGCCAAAACCCTTGAGATTTTGCCAATAGATGTGCAACTCGTGTGTGCCACTTATGACCAAAATTTATAGGCTTGTGTAAAATTTTTATAGACCAAATAATGAGTTAGCCGTTTTTTAAAACACACCGGTGCAAAATTCCTACTCTTGAGCCTATCTAAAAAAAAAATTCTAACTATATTTTCACCAGAAAAGTTCCCTAAAGCTTAAGATTTTACTAATAGATGCCCAATTTCAAACCTTTGATGCATATATGAGCAAAATTTTCAGGCTTGCATAATATATTTTGGAAAAAATACTAAGTTAGCTCTTTTTGAAAATCAGTTTTAAATGGAGCCATTTTGCAGGAATTTTTTTTTGTAAACATTTAGCCCAGATCCATATAGTTATAATACTGCCAAAATGATAATGATTACGATGGCAAAATATTCGCATAAATTTATAACGAATGATGTAAAAATAATTCTCTGAATATGTTTCCCCAACACGAATATATTATATTGCCACAAAATCAACAGTGAATATGTTACAACAACAAAAATTTATCAAATTTTTGCCAGAGATGCGTTAAAAATCGTTTCTCAATTTTAACTGTTACCAGTGGCTAATGCCCAAAAATAATTATTTCCTTCTCCATTTAATGGCAGTTTTCCGGGTTTGCTTGGGTAAGCCAGTTTCCCCTCTAATCCTCCTCCCTTATTTTCTTGTGGTTCTGGAGCATCCAAAGTAATATTAACCCCCTGAAAATTAAAAAGAAAATGGCTTTCATTAATGCGTAATTTTTGTTGCCAAAATTAATTTTATTCGTTGAAAGAATGAACAATAAAGAAATAATCGCAACTACAAGATTCCGTGGAATGAAGGGGCAAAAAAATCTATTATTAGACTTTCGAAACTTTTTAAAAAACAATGATTCCCAAACAAGCAGGATGTTTAGCAATGCAACATGGTTTCTGCAGAAAAAAAAATTGCTTCGGGTTCTATGTCTTGATTTCTGGGTCTATTTGATAATTTTATGTCTTGTCACGTTAGTGTCAATCGAAAATCCTAGTCCCATTTTCTATTGAATTCCCCTGGACCTTAGGTTTAAGTTTGTAAAAATACAAATCACAATTGTGAGATAATATATTCTCCTCGTTCAATTCAAATCATTATCGTATTCGTAATAATACAAATCGAATTCGTTTTTGGATATAATTTATAGTGTGATTTTTTTTTATAAAAAATCAAACCAAATTTAATTAAATTAAAAACATCACTTTTATAAATAGAATTTTTAAAAATCGCTCCGCTCTAAAAATCACTGAAATTGTGGAAAGCTTTGAAAATAATAAAAGTGTTTTTTGTTATTTTAAATTGGAAACTTAAAATTTTTGTATCTTTTAACATTATTAAGGCACCCTTTACACTTGGGAAAGGAAGCCCTAGGAAAATTTAAGTTTATAATATTATCTAAAACTCCGATAAAATAATAATTGACAAATTTAAATATTTACTTAATATCAAACTCAAAAGTTGCTTGCCAATTAATAATACGTATCTCATTTATCGATATCTTTATTTTAAATGTCTATATTCAAATTACCTCGCATTTTTACACCAACATTTGGCTTAATTTTTTTTAGAGGATTTGATCATTGGAATCTACTTTTAATTTTGAAAATGTCTGTCAGGATTTTTTATGTGGCTTGACTTAGCTATGTATAACAACTGCACACTAGTTATTAAAATTTTGTTGATGTTCCTAAGGTAATGTCAGTCGGGGAAAGATAAACGAAGGAAGGGGTGACTCAAGATAAGTAAGAAAAATTATGTCAGCTGATGCTAAGTAGTAACCTTAATTTGTAGACTGGTTTGTTATTCTAACCTGTGAAATGCCTCATGATTTGATTGAATTATCATTTTGGATTGTGATAGTGAGAGAGGATATGATCATCGTGAACAGGGGAATCAAATGTAATACCCGAATACATTCCTCCTGCTCACTATACAAATTTATTTACCCACTCGCCCATGTTACGATTTACCTCCAACCTAATGTTTTAAAATTATTTTATTGGTTGATTTTTATTAGCGTAATTTATAAATTCCACGTTATATTAGAGTACCAATCGTAGATGAGTAAAATTTGCACTTTCATTCGTACCAGTTAAAATTTAGGTTAATACTTTGTAACCATGATTAACGTATTTATGATGGATAGATTGATTGCAAAGGTTAGTTAAAGATTGACAGAAGGGAAAAAAAATGAAATAAAGTAGTGTACCATACATGCAATGACTTAATAATAATAGCTAGACTTGCATTCATTAAAAGTGTACATCAAATGAAAAACAGCTTGGGACTCCATTTTGGTTTTACCCATATCATTATTAAAATTTTAAACGAGAGGCCAATTTATTCGCCATGTCTGACGCGAACCTTATTAAAGAACTGCCTGTTCATCGAGGTAATAAGGGGAAAGCAAATTATCAATCGAATAATAGTTTTTTTAAACATGAGAATAATTACTAATATGGGTTACCAAAAATGGCGAGTCCAGCTGCTTTGTATTCAACTACGCTTTCAAGTGCATTATCATGAATGCATTGTCAATCTAGGTATTATTGTATGTCATTGCATACAAGACAAAAATAGCGAACGGTGATTATGAATGTCATTTTAATTAATTAGGTGGATCCTTTGGTCAGTCTCATGATGGTCGAAAAAGTGCCGGACTCGACTTATGACATGGTGGGAGGTCTCGAAAAGCAGATCCGAGAAATCAAGGAGGTCATCGAGCTGCCAGTCAAACATCCCGAGTTATTCCAAGCCCTTGGAATAGCCCAGCCTAAGGTAATATTATCTATCTTTTTTTTCTTGGGTACACATCCATCCCATTTTTTTTGTTCCTCTTTTGATTTGATTGACGTCTTTTTGACATTTTCTAAAACCTCTCTCGAATATCCTGCACCTGTTTATTTTTTTCTACACTCCTAAAAACATCATTTCACTAGATTATACTCCAAAATATTTTTCATTCATTTATTTTTATTGGTTCTCAGGGAGTATTGCTTTACGGTCCCCCAGGAACGGGAAAAACTCTTTTAGCGAGGGCCGTAGCCCATCACACTGAATGCACTTTCATAAGGGTTTCGGGTTCGGAACTCGTTCAAAAGTTTATAGGAGAAGGTTCCAGGATGGTCAGAGAACTCTTCGTCATGGCCAGGTTTAATATATCGTTTATTCATTTAACATATACATCAAGGAGACACGTGGAGGCAGACATATTTAGTTTCATTAGAAAATTAATTTTTAAATCTATATCCGTTATCAGGAGGATATCTGTATTTGGGCTTTTAACTGAAACTTACCCCCCCCCCCCACCACCAATTTCACTACACTTTGTTTTAGCCCTTGCCCAAATAAAATATTTTCAAACATTACCCCATGGGTGGGCATAGCTGACCACTTAATATCTTGATCTGAATTTTGGGGAGTAGTTTCAAAATAAACATTAAGGTTAGCGAATTGAGTGACAAACTGACTTATTAACTTTTTTTATGTGGAGTTAAAAAAAAATAAATATAAATTTCTAAATTCAGGGAACACGCTCCATCCATCATATTCATGGACGAGATCGATTCTATAGGTAGCATCCGACTCGAAGCCGGCTCTGGAGGTTTACCTATTCCTTCTACTATATATATTATATATTTTTTTTATCTCGAGTAGTTATATGGAATTAATTGAAAATAAAAATTTTTTTCCATAAAATCAAGTTATAGGAAAAGGAAGCCCAACATGTTTCTTAGAATCTTAGAAATTTCTCCAGGAATTCTTTATTTTTTTAAAATTCTAAATTTATAACATATTTTAGCCGACAGTGAAGTCCAAAGAACCATGTTGGAATTGCTGAATCAGCTGGACGGTTTTGAGGCGCAAGTCAATGTTAAGGTTTAAAAATTTGAAATGATCAATTTAAATCGTATTATTTGTTAATATTATAATATTCGGGTAAAAGGGAGGATGCAGTGATAATTATCATTTTTTTCATTCTTTTCGTAAAAGCCCTGTCCATCCCCTTTTGGTTATCCATAAAAATATTCAAAGGGTGTGGAATGGGTAAAGTTGCCAAATCCTTTACTCTCAAAATTTAGATTTAATTGTTATGCCATATAAAATCGTAACTCATCATGAGATATATAGATAAATTATATGGTATAATTTTTTCTAAGAATTTCTAAATCATCGTCGGAAATGGTGTGGTTTATCCAGAAAAATATTACGCAAGCCTGAAGATTTTTGTTCGCAGATTTTGTTTGCGAAATCGTGGTTTTTAGCAATATTTTTCTGGCTAAAATATCGGGTTAGCCGTATTTGAAAACCGGCTTAAAATCGAGCCGATTAACAACGCTAATCGGAATACGTATCGACGACTAGATTAAATTTATATAATCTTACGATATTCTTATCCGCGACAAGGTAATAATGGCGACCAATAGGATAGACATTCTCGATAGCGCTCTTTTGAGGCCCGGTCGAATAGACAGAAAAATCGAGTTCCCCCCACCCAACGAAGAAGTAATTATTGTTACCCTATTGTTTCTTAATTATATTCATTTTTTTGTGATGCACATTTAGATGAGTATATATATTAAGCAAATTAAGTAATTTCTTAAAATCCCTCAAAAAAAAATTGACACTGAGTTGCAAAGTGGATGGGGAGGAGGTTAGTTAGGATGTTTTAAAAACAAAGAAAAATAAGCCTGACTGACAGATTTGATTTTTTTATCAATCATTTGTGTCAGGACTTGGGAGAATCAAAGTTGTCAGCTTGCGGGACTCCTGAGATTGGTGCATCTACCACAAAAAAGTGTAAGATAGCTTTCATATTAATAAGAGGTTACATGTTTACTTTCTCTCTCCTTAAGCTCCTCTTCTGAAATCTAAGGTTTGGGGACATTTTGGAATCCATTACGATGTTCACGTCATGTGCACTTATAATTTTTAATTTTTTTAAAAATCATATTTGCATCTACAAAGGCCCGACTAGATATATTGAAAATCCACTCCCGAAAAATGAACCTAACACGTGGTATAGACCTCAGGAAAATAGCGGAAGCCATGCCGGGCGCCTCTGGAGCCGAAGCTAAGGTAATTATTTTAATAATATAATATTTTGATTACGCGCTCGTACTCGATTGAATCGTAACCCACCGTCCTACCTACAAATTTTCTCGCTTTATCTGGGAATAATTGGTTATTTAAACAGGTTGGTTTAGGGTAATTCCGTTCCCCAAACCTATATATTTTCGGCCCGACTTTTTTTTAACATCATTAGAAAGCATCGAATCCAGAATTTTAGACGCTTAGTATACTCATTCCTGAATTCACTGATAGAGAACATCATTAGAAAGCATCAAATCCAGAACTTTAGCCTTTTAGTACTCATAGTCATCATTAGAAAGCAACAAATCCGGAATTTTAGCCTCATACTCATAATTCCTGCGAAAAATTTACTGAGAGAGAACATTATTAAAAAGCATCGAATCATCTTAGACTCTTAGTACTCATAAGTTCCTGAGAGAAAATAAAAAACATCGAATCATCTGACTCTTAGTACTCATGGTTACTGAGAGAAAACATCATTAGAAAGCATCTAATCCAGAATTTTAGCCTCTTTAGTACTCATAGTTCCTGCGAAAAATTTACTGAGAGAGAACATTATTAAAAAGCATCGAATCATCTTAGACTCTTAGTACTCATATGTTCTTGAGAAAAATTTACTGAGAGAACATAAAAAGCATCTAATCATCTGACTCTTAGTTCTCATAGTTCCTGAGAAAAATTTACTGAGAGAAAACATCATTAGAAAGCATCGAATCCAGTTCCTGAGAAAAATTTACTGAGAGAACATAAAAAGCATCGAATCATCTGACTCTTAGTACTCATAGTTCCTGAGAAAAATTTACTGAGAGAAAACATCATTAGAAAGCATCGAATCCAGAATTTTAGCCTCTTTAGTACTCATAGTTCCTGCGAAAAATTTACTGAGAGAGAACATTATTAAAAAGCATCGAATCATCTTAGACTCTTAGTACTCATAAGTTCCTAAGAAAAATTTACTGATAGAACATCATTAGAAAGCATCATTGAGAAAAATTTAAGAGAGAACATCATAGAAAGTATCGAATCCAGAATTTTAACCTCTTTCATAGTGAGATATCAATGGTCAAAAGTGCCCAAAATGACCTTGAGATTAGTTTATATTATGTTAAAATAATAATTTTTCCTATTTTTTATTTTTTGAACCTGAAATAACTCTAGGTATTTCGCTTATCAGAATTTCTTTGAATCCAATATTTTATTATATTTTTTAACTTGGCACCGACATGGACTATTTAGTTATTATTGCGACAAAGATATAGATGAGTTTTGTTAAAATTATTTTGTATTTTTTTTTGAATTTTTTCCATATTTAAACAATAAATAATTAGATTTTACCAACATTTAACATTCATTGGAATAAAATTATTTATGCTGCGATTATAATACTTATTTTTTTCCCAAAAAATTATTTAATTTTTGCGAATATAAAATAGTAGATAAATTTAAAAATTCGTGAAAGATATTATGTTTACTTATTTTTCGACTTTTTGCCAAATTAAGTTGTTTTTTTTTTGACGACTTGATAATTTTTCGATTTGCAAAAAATTATGTGGACAGCCGGCCCAGTCGTCTTTGATGGGTTCATTTGTAAAAATCCATTTTTTTGCACTAATCCTAACCACCAATAGTTTTTTCTCACATACAGGTCACATTTCCTATTATTTTTCGTCGATTATAACAGATCCCTCAAATGGATTTACTATATTCTCCACGATAAAAGTCTGAGAATTGTAATATTATATTTTAGTATCTGAAGCTAAGTTAAACCTATTGAATAAGACACTGAGTGGACCTTATCCTTCTCTTAAATAGATATCCACAACCTTTGTGCCATCTATGGCCAAAATCTTCAGTTCAGGTTTGCGCGATATTTTTCTGGATACAATACCCCCGTTTTTTTAATAGTCGACTCAAACGGAGCGATTTTACATCGTCAGTTCCGACCGCCTCGTTTTCGGCCATCTAAATGGCAGTTCCTTGGTTGCCATGTTCGAATGTGGCATTGGTGTGAATTAGGGCTGTGCCGATCTACATATTTTTTTACAGGTATCGGCATGATCTGATATTTTTGGAAAACGCTAAATATAGGTGCCGATCCATATTTAATATCGGCACAGCCCTAGTGTGAATAACAAGAAAATAAAATCGAAACTTGATAATAAATTAAGCATTGTTAATATAAAATTCTTACTAAATAAAATATGACAAATTTAAAACAAAAAAAAACATTTTTAAGGTCAATTTTAAGTTTTTTTTTTAAAAAAAAATTGTACTTGACATGGTTACTCCAAAATAAAATTATGTGTTTTTTTTATAATATAAATTATAAAAGAAAACTAAAAAAAAATTTTTATATGTAAAAAAAATTTTTTATATGTAAAATAATTTTTAAAGTATGCATAAAAAGAATAATAAAATCTTTTTTCAATAAAAAAAAATGGTTAGTTTTTAAATATACGAAGAAATATAAAAGGTTTGAATTGAAGTTTATTTTCATAAAAGAAAGAAAGAATTAAACAATAAATACCAGTTTCAAATCTATTAAGAATAACGATTTAAGCTAAGGATAAGATAAAGGCAAAAATGGATAGATTCACTATGGATCAAACTTTTACGAAAATTAAATATATTCCAATGACACATATAATAACACCTAGACTGACGATTCATTCATTCATTTAAAATGCATTTTTTTTAAGCGTCGGTTGAAAGCAAATCAGCTGGACCCGCCATTTTGGTAATTATTCTCGTGTTTAAAAACTACTATTAAATTGATAAATTCGCTTCCCTTATCATCTGATCCGGTGATTCTTTAAATAAAGTTTGCATCAGATATAAAATTTTTAATAGTGATTAGTGTAACCAAGATGGCGTCTCCAGCTGATTTGCATTGATGTTGCACTTTTTAACCAATGAATCGTCAAGTCTAGGTATTATACATGTCATTGTTACAATCACGGCAAAAGTCACATAATTTTTTTTTTCTTTCAAGTTAAATCACGCCAATTTTAACCGAACCTAATTTTTAGCCAAAAAAAAATATGAAATCAAATATATAAGACTTTACGAGGAGTTTAAAATTTTTGCGCGCTTATGGTTACGTTAAACCTTATAACGTCGGCGGAAAATCTTTAAAAAATTGATCATCTGAACCAAGAATTATACTTCCGTACTGTTAATATTATTTTAAATATTCTTTTTTTATACTTCTCCCAATACCGATTACAGAACTTAATTAAATTGTCACGTTCATAACTTTTGTATACCCGCGAAAATACGGACCTTTGCCTTCTTTAGTCTTAGGTGATACTTTAATGAATGCTACCCTTTCTTGTGTCGTGTGCCGCTGCGGTGACCTCCTGCCGTTTCGATCTCGGTCCAAACGGATCCTTAAAAGATTTGTGGCGTTTTTTAAAAAAAAAGAAATTTAGGTCCAGATCTATTGCAGATCTCAAGAATTTTTTTTTATTGAAACCCTGTCAATCCAAAACTTTGAAATTTCGTATATTTTTTAACTCGCTTAAATAAAGGGGACACGGCTTATCTTACTTCAATATTAGCTGTTCCCTTAGAATCTTCTTTTATTGTCACATTTTCTCGCCATTTTGAAATGCTCTTTAAGACCCATTGACTACGTTACATTGATATAGCGTCTTTTATCCGAACATTCATGGGCGAACCATTTCCCTCCATATGATATCAGGCTAGATGGGTTACTCATTTTAACTGAATCATCCACCACCATCACCTTCCCCCTTTTCCCAGGTTTATAGCTCATTCTTTTCACGTGAATTGACACCTGCCTCTCCGCCCGTTTTTCTCTCTTGCGAATTTCAACTCATATTATTTAGAATGAAATGTAACGAAATGTTTTTTAAAAAAAAATTTTTTTAACGGAACAAAGGGTGTTTGTACTGAAGCTGGTATGTACGCCTTGAGGGAAAGGAGAGTGCACGTCAATCAAGAAGATTTCGAAATGGCCGTCGCTAAAGTAAATTTTTTTAAAAAAAATATTATACTATTTGGGACATTTATTTATAACGTCAAAACATTTTGCATTTTTCTAAATATCATTATTATTATTTTCTTATTTACGAACTTTTATTTCTGAATAATAGTGTTGCTAAACGGCTCGATAAAAACCGGTAAACTCAATATTTTTAAAAACCGGCTAACCCAATATTTTAGCTGGAAAAATATTGTCTAACCCTCAAGATTTCGTTAACAGATGTTCAAACTTTTGTGCCATTTATGAGCAAAATCTTGAGGCTTGCGTTATATTTTTCCTGTTAAAATTATTGAGTTAACCGGTTTTTAAAAATATTGAGTTAACCGGTTTTTAAAAATATTGAGTTAGCCGGTTTTAAAAAATCGGCTCAAACTGAGCCGTTTAGCGTCACTAGTAATTAAATATTTTACCGTTCTTTTTTATTTATTTGTAAGTTGGATTTTCCAGGTTTTTTGAAACGTTGGCTTCCTGACCCTATTCAAATTTTCCGGTCGTAAAAATTTTTAAAGGAACGCGGGTTTCGTAAACTGGGCCTATATATCGGAAATTATTCGTTATATTCTTGTTCGATTCATTCGATTACGAATATTTATTTGGTTAAGTCGGGTAATTACGAATGCTAGCCGGCTAAACGGAGTTTTTCGAGTTTTTAACCGCCTAAACCGGGTTTCTAGATGTCTAGACCGGTTTTTATTCGGCTAAACCCTCATTTTTAGCCTAAATCTATCACATCGGCCTCGGGATTTTTCTTAATAAAAAAAATGGCAGTTCAAATTTAGAAGAAATTAAATATTTAATTAAAACGCCTTAATGTTAACGGATTTTTTCCGGAAGACGCCCCCCCCCTAGGGATTGAGCCGACATTTTAGCCATTACCCAAATTTTATTAACTATCTGACGCCCTTTAAATTTTTTCGATCGCTTAAAATGTTAACCGGGGCGGGTTATAGCCCTGGCCAACATTCGAAAATTATTCATTCATATTCGATTCATTCGATTACGAATATTTATTAGTCGATACATATTTTACGTAAACTTGTTTTAAAATCACTCTCTAACCAAAAAAAAGTTAACTTGGAAGATATTAAAGGAAAATTTACATTTCCTCATTTACCAAACTTATATATGTTTTTTTGTTTTTTTAAAAAAAATTTTTTAAAAGGTCATGCAAAAAGACACCGAAAAAAACATGTCGATCAAGAAATTGTGGAAATAACCCCCCCTCCAACTCCTCCATTTTTTTTACAAATAATTCATTCATTCATTTCGAAATATCTTATTAATTTTAGTAATTATTTATTTTCATAACTCTTGTCCGAGTTCCTTACCAAAGGAAACCATTATGGAAAAAAAAAATAATACACTCTTATTAACTAACGATCACATTACCCCTTCCCATTTTACCCCTATCGATTTAAATAACCTTCCTTTTTTTTAAAAAAAACATTGAGAACTTATTAACTTAAATTTATTTATTTTCTACCTCCTCTATTTAAACCAACAAACTGACCCACCACCATTTTGTTTTTATCGATAAATTGATTTTCTATGGATTTGATTTCGATGTTTTTGTCATTTACTTATAAAAAATCTTCCTTATCGTACATATAATTATTTTCTTCGTTCATTTTTTTTTCTCGCACAAATTTGTTTTTTTTTTCTGTTTTTTTTTTTCAAAAAAACAACGACAAAAGTTTTATTATTTTTTGATATAATTTCGCGTATCAAACACATATTAAAAAAAATAGGAATGATTTTATATATATTATTATTATTAATATTTCCACAATTTATATATTTATAAAAAACACTCGTTTATAAAATTTAAACTCCCCTTATTACCATGTTTTTTTAAAAAATAACTTTATCCTAATATTCGATAAAGCGAAACCTCATGGCAAAACGATCTTTTAATGATATAATATAATAATATTTATAATACATTTATTATTATTCGAATAAAAATATATTTTGCTTTTTGTGGGGTGGGATTTCGGAATTTAAAAAATTGGTAGCGATAAGGATAATTGCGATCTGAAAATCAAATGTGATTGAGAGATGCAGATTTCTAGGATATCGGATGAAGAAAATTGATTTAGAGAGACAGGTGTGATACAATTCGGTTAGTGTTGTTAAACTATTCGTTAATTGCTAACTCAATATTTTAGTAGCCAGAAAAAATATTGTCCTAAGCTTCAAGATTTCTGTAGTATATGTCTAGAACCTCTGTTCCTTCTATGAGCAAGCTTGGGCAGAATTTTTCTGTATTGAGTTAGCCTTTCTTAAAATCGGCTCAAAACGAATTCGGTTAACTTTTAAGATAACTCCTAGCTCTATTGTTAACTGAACTTTGTTTTCTCTGTCCTATCTCATAAAAACTTCGTTTATAGTTTACTTCAAAAAAAAATTATTTTTTGCGATAAAATAATAAGCATCTCATTTTATTTTAAAAAAAAAGAAAGAAAATTCTTCTATTTTTATCACACTAACCCAAAGAAAAATGAAATGTATCTTGATTTAAATCATGAGCCATTAGAGGTTTAAGTAACGAGGTTTCGCTGTTGTATACAGATATATAATTTAGTCTATATTAATCAATGACTTATAATAATACCTAGACTGACGATACATTCATAATAATGCACTTGAAAGCGTCGTTGAATGCAAATCAGCTGGACCCACCATATAGGGAACCCAAACATATAGTAATTATTCTCATGTTTAAAAACTACTATAATCGATAACTTTGCTTCCTTATTATCTCATCGATGATCAGGCAATTCTTTAAATAAAGTTTGCGTTAGATATAGGAAATAAATTGGTCCTCTCGTTTAACATTTCCTTAATAATGATGGCTAATCAAAATGGCGTCAACAGCTGTTTTGATTTATCTACACTTTTAATGAATGCATCGTCCGTCTATGTATTATTATTATGTCATTGAGCGCAACATACATCTATTCCATAGATTCCTATACATCCGGCATATTTTTTCCTTTCAAGTCTGACCGATTTGATCCGAGGAGATAAATGTTTTCTTTTAAGACGGAAAAATTATATGCCATGGAAAATAAACAAAGGCGTGTATATGCACAAGGAAGATAAAAATTATAATTCTAGAATAAAATTTTCTAGTTCCTAACCTATAAAGTCAGAGAAACTCCTGGCTTCTAAGAGGCCCGACGTTTATCAATATTAAATTTACTAAAACTAAATGATTAATTCTAGTTTTTTTGTTAGAGAATGTGATCATTATTATAAAATTACGTTATACTTATTTCGTATAACAATATTCTTTATTTCCACATGATTTCAATTTTAAACAAAGACAATTAATGGTACAATAGTATCTTCTCGAAAATGTATCGAAAAACGTCCATATCTCTCAATCACAAATCAACAGATACAAAACGATACTCCTCAAAAACTATCTATTTTTTTTTATAATTAACCTTTTTTTATTAGCTCTAATCTACTTTTTATTTGTAACTGACTTAAAAAATATATAAAAGGACCACTACATCAAAATTTAGAAATAATAATTCAGCTCTTGGACATCTTTTGAGTTTTTCGGCCATTATGTCCTTTTCAATTAAAAATGAATAAATGTCAGGATTTATACAATATTTTGGTTAAAAATTATTTTAAGTTGTATCGTGGTTAGATTATAATATCATTTTTTTGCTAGAAATTGTCCGTAGGGATTGTGTCCAATCAACGTTTTATTCCAATAAGATCTAATTTTTTGTCTATCGCCGACGTTGTTACAAAATACGTATTTAATATTCGATCGCTGGTGATCGGTGAAATTAAATTGTTCCTCTTTGATCCAGTTATCAAAATTACCCTCCAAGTGAATCGCGCTATTCATGTCGATCATGAGAGTACCTGTCATTCTCGCTAATCTGCCTGTCACGTGAACATCGTCTACGAAGAAATAGGGTTGGGTAAAATAGGCCTTGTGCAACTTGTAAGCGGTAGGCGGGGTCAATATCATAACCCAGCCGGAGCAATAGGGTTCGTAATAATTTCCCGGGTATTCCTTTTCCGTTGCGTACCATTTGAAACCGTGTACTCTTACGATAGGCGAATTGATTCGAAGGGGGCATATTATGATGTCCCTTATAAGTTTTTCGTCTCCAAATAATTTGCTAAATTCGGCGGAAATGTTCGGATCTACTTTGATCATGGTGTAAGATTTTTGATCGCAATTCGCGACGCCTTGAGCGTTACTCTGATTTATCATTACCTTATTAGGGACAGGTGGCGTTGCCGCTTGATCCGCCAATTTTTCGCTGAGCCTTAAACAGTCTATAATGTTCCCGAAACTTTCTATGGGCATGACAGAGGTCTGATTATAAGTATACGGTAACGACAATTCTTTAGGCCTGATTTTGTCCACGTTATTCATCAAAAAGGCACCGTATCTTTTATCGAAGTATCTTAAAGTATCGATGACTTGAAAAATATCCGCGAAAATATCGTCGTCCATTTTGAGAACGAATTTGGCGTGGGAACAGTAATAGGAAATCCATTTGAATCCCATCGACATTTTGTAAGTCATATTGACGTAGTCGTCCAGGAACCACGCTTGAACAACGTCGCCGTAATTCGTGCTCTCGATAGTTATCTGTTGTTGGATTGAATCGATTTTAGGTATTCCTAACATAAACACGAGACGAATATTGTAATTGTAGTATTCCCTGACGGACCCCCACGTTTCCCTGATTGATTCTCTCAAATTTATATGGTCCGGGGCTGTGTGAATTATTATTATGATAAATATATCTTTAGGTACGGTTTTATTTTTGGGGGTAAGCGGATCCGACGAATCTTTACGCGTCACAATGTCGAAACACGTGTGTTTCGGGTTGATCAGATATTCGAAATCCTCGGGTAAATCCTTGCGAGAAACATTTTTTTCCAAGAAAAATCCGTTCAACATGGTGTAATTGGATTTCAGCTGTTTCAGGCATTCGTCGTCTTCCAACGCGAGTTCCAAATTTGTCAGCTGACTCCTCTCCCCCTGAACCGCGCCATGATTTTCTCGATGAATATGCTCGTTAAAAGCTACCATCCCCAATTTGTTCGAATAGTTTATCAAAATATTTTTGTCAAACGAGATGGTAAATCTATCTTTAAATGATGATAGAATGAAATATAACGTCATGAAAACCATTAGTCCTATTATACCATATTTTGATTTCATTTCAAGAAAACACCTGCTGCGACTGAATAATCTATTGGGCTACTTTTTTTTAAAAAAAAAATAATAAATTTAATTTTTTGAGACACCCGAGGGCTCGGCCCGGTCTAATCACACGGACCGGACCGTTAAATTATTGTTTTAAAACCAACTCGGGTTGAGCTCTAAAATTTTTTTTTATAAAAACCAGGGCAGTCCAAAATATATTGTGATATTTTATTTTATATAATAATTAATAATGAAAAAAAAAATTTATAATAAAATATATTTAAAAAAAATTGGGGTATTTAAGAAAGAAAGATAGAAAGAAAGAAAGAAAGATAGAAAGAAAGAAAGAAAGAAAGAAAGAAAGATAGAAAGATAGATAGAAAGAAAGAAAAAAAATAAAGAAAGAAAAAAAAAAGAATGAATTACAGAATATATATCAAATTCATTTCACTTTTCAGATTTTACATTTCAAAAAATTAAGTTATTTCACTGTGTGTTTTTCTTTTGGAAGGGGGGGGGGGGAAAGAATATATAATGGGATTTCATATTTATTGAAAAAACCGAACCGTAAAATGGTTGAATAGTTAATTTTTATTTAAAGAAAAAAAAAAATTTAAACCTAATGTTTTCATTTATATAAATAAATATATATAAGGTTGATTAAATATTTCTTTTTTATATAAAATATAAATTTGAAATTTTATAAGCCCGGGCCAAGCCGGGTCGGGCCGGGTCGAGTCGGGAAATTTGAAACTCGAGCTAAATTTATTTTTACAAATCAACATTGATTTGTAGATATCAAATTCCAATGTCAATTTTTTCTATTTTTTTTTAAAAACTATAAACTCCTACGTTTCAGCACATACATCTATTCTAAAGCCCTAATGGTGTTGTCTAATAATTCATTTTTGTTCAATTTAAAGAGTTTTTTCTTTCTTTCTTTTATACATTTTCAGAACAAAATTTTATAATTGAGTAAGAAAACGATTTAAATTCTCATCTAACAACTCATATCCGAAATTATCTTACCTAGGACTCCTTTAAGTTGGTCCTTCTGTTAAGAATCCGACCACTCTTTAGTATAATTTAAGAACGTTAGATTTTTTAAAAATAAGTTTAAATTGTCTTTTCGAAATAATCTATTTCCGTGTTTCTTTGCCGCGCGTTTCATATAACAGGAAGAATAAACTTGCCAAAATAACGCTGCGAATTAGAGTCAGCGATTTCCTTTGTTACTAAGCTTGCTTGCGTTTATTAATCTTGAGTCAGCCTCTGTTTCCAGACCCGGTTTTTATATGGGTTATTTTTGGAGGGAGCAAAAATGATGGATAGATATCACAATTTGACAGACATCAAAAAATATAAATTTAACTCGAGCCTGCCCGCCATCCGGTGACAATTATTTTTAATTCCGTATTTTGTCATGTGACCCTTAAAAAAAAGTCTTCATATTTTTTTAGGGGGTGGAGGGGGGAAGTCATTTTATTGATAATATTATCGTTGGAAGGAATCGGTCACAGGAAGTCGAATCCAAATATTTTAGGGATCTAGATCTCAAAGATTTTTACAAAAATTTGACTTTAGAAATGTGTCCAGCTTTTCCTGATCATTCGACATTCAATCACAATATAATGGATAACCTTTTCCGATAACAATGTTATATCATATATTTTTTAAATTAAATTTAAATGGCCTCTCGGAGATATTGGCTACCAACCATTTTTTTAAAATCTATATTTTTTATTGGACACAAAAAGAAAGTGGCCTCTGATTGGCTCAACAAAAATATCTATATAGTATATAAATTAGAAAATATAAAAATACGTAAAACTTACCAAAAAATTTGTATATTTTAAAGGGTTAAGTCCAAAAACCCCAAACAAATATTCGATTTTTTTCTAAGGTAATCTTCCCTCCAAAAAAACAACTTGTTTTTTATTTCGATTTTTCAGGTGTTGTCTATAAAGAATGATACAATTTTTTTTTTGGAGAAAAGTTTGAAATATAAAATAAAAAACGGAATAGTCGGTTGTTAATAAGGAATTCCTAATATTTTGGAATAAAACTGTAATAACTATCTTTAATTTTTAAGTAATAAAGTGTTTAAAAAATTATATATATAATAAATATTTTATGGTATAACATACAAATACAGATACATTATGTTTAATAAAATATTAGTAATTAAAATTGTGTAAATATTAAGTTTAGGGAAAAATAAAAGTTTTTAAAAAAAATTACCCTAAAAAATAACAGGAAAAGATTTTAATTTTATATTTTGTTTTTTTTTTAATATATAAAACAAAAAAACAAATAAAAAACATATTTTTTGTTTTTTATAATTTTTATAACGATATATCCTTATTCAATCATATATAAAAAAAAAATATAATTTAGCAAATATTTACCCAAAAAGGAAGGAAGGAAGGAAGGAAGGAAGTATTTTAGAATATGAAATTAAACTTCTAATAGTAAAGTAGTGTATTAATTTGTTTAAAATTGTTGAACAAACTTTTTTCGCAGTTATAAGAGATTGTTACCCTACACCCATGGGTGGCAGCGATAGTTACACCCATTTTTTTTTAAACTCTAAGTATTGAAAATAAGATAACAATTATAAATATGATAGTTTTGTTAAGTCAAAAAATAATATCTTAAATTAGTGAATAATCCGGCCCGGCCCGAACTCGAAATTTTTTTTGCCGACCCGGCCCGAACCCGAATTTATTTAAATACAGAAATTTTATAATTACTCAAAATAAACGATACATGTTATTTGGCGTCTACTTTCTATACAATAAAAAAATCACGTATTTTTTATTTTACATAAAAAATTCAACATAAAATCGATAAATTTAGATATATTTTAAAAAAAAATTTCTAAGGCCCGACCCAAACCGGCCCAAATTTTCTTAAAAAATATTAAACCCGGTACGAAGCCCGTTCGGGGCGGGTACGGGCCGGTACTTTTGCAGATCTCTAATCTACTTATTCATTCCATTCAATTTTAAATTGAAAAATTCTTGATTTTACTAATTATTATGTAAGTATAATTTGGGATAAATTATTTCATATTTTTAGTAAATTATTAAATTTAGTAATTTTTTTTTATATATTTTATCAAAATAATAATAAGACAGAAAATTTTTAATAAATTCCATATTAAATAATAATAATACTGATATATGAAATGTAAATTGATAAGGGAATAAGGGAAGGAAAAAGTGAATTCTAGCGAGGGTCTGTGGAAGGAAGACCGCCATTTGAAACTTTTAATAATTCTTTAAAGGTAGCTATAGCCGGTCTCTGCTCCAGTATGCTTGCCGATGTGAGATCCCAAAATCCCGGAAGAAGGAAAATGCAGGCAAGAAGGTTATAATCATTTGGGTAAAGATGTGATCTTTCGATATTTTTTCCAAATATTTGGAAATTTTATGTTGTTTCTTTACTTCAAGTAGGTATGGAATTAGTTGGACTAAAATTTTTTTTTAATTAAATTATTACTTTATATATATATTATAATAATATATCAATCTTTACCCCATATCCTTTTCTAAACCTTTCTACCATCACTTTTTTAATCACCGATTAACCACTACAATAAGGTTTCAGAGATAAAGGATCCCAACTCATTAGAAAACTAAGGATTCCAAGCACCTATTGCCTCCCTGATCATGATGCCTCACGATATCGTGTCTTCAATAACCTGGCCTTCCTCATTAAATGTATACTTGAAATGTCGCCTCCAACCATGGGATTTTTTTTTAAAGAAGAAATGCTAAAAGACCTGATGAAAATTTAATTCATTGAAGTATACGCACTCTCCCTTACCCTTCCTCTCGTTTAGATTTTATATTATTTTTGAATTATTATTCTATTTAGAATTTTATTTCTTTTATGCTGGATCTGGTGTACCCAAATTTATTGCGCTGACCTCCCTCAAAGTTTCTAGGAGTCTCCAAGACCTAAAGGATTTGAGTAGAGTGAGAAATACCTCTCACCCCCCTACTAAAATACAAATTAAATTATGAAAATGACTTAAATCTTTGCGCGAAAAAAAATGGTTATAAAAATATATAAAAGGTTTCCTTGTTAAAAAAATAAATATATTAAAATTGTGATTGGCGGGGAATCAAAATATTCCTCCTTAATTTGATGTTGGATGAATCCACTCATATAAAGAAGAAAAGAAAAAAAGTCTGAATTTCTCATCATTCTAGACTAGACAGATGAGAAGAGAATGGAAGATAAAATAAACCAAGTGCCACATAATGTAAACGGTTCAAAGTTATCTGGCTTATATATATAGATCTTAGAAGAATAAAGGCATTCATTGGTTTGATGAAGGATGATAGTTAGATATATATTTGACAGTGAAAGCTCTGTACAGTGAGAAATCTAAGATATTTTCAGAAAAGGTTTTAATCTGATTTTTAGCTAAAATTATTGGACCTCTTTATGATAAAATATTTGTCACTTCAAACTGATAACAATTTACACATTCAAACCATTGTATTTTTGTATCTTGATGTCATTTATACTGAATCCATACAAGTGTTGTTTAAAAGGGCTGCTCATTTTAAGCCAATTTTTTTTAAAAAACGGCTAACTCAATATTTTATTAGGAAAAATATTATGCAATCCTTAGGACTTTTTGCTCGTAGGTTGGACACAAAGGTTTTGAAAATCTATTAACGAAGTCTCGATGCTTAGATAAGATTTTTCTGGCCAAAATATTGAGTTGAACTAACAACACTGGCCCCATATATCAATGATATATATATATATTATCTAAGAGAGATCATTAATTTTAATTAATTTCAAAAATTTTAGACGGTAAGTGGTACAATAATTTCAATTATTATAAATCAAATTTTGCGGGTTATATAAATTTTAAGTACATCCCATTTCCTCTTCCGCCGAACATCAGAATATATTTCGGAGACCTGCAGAGGTACCATTTGTACGGCAAGGCCCGGATTTTTTTTCGAAAATTTTTTTCAGCCCGACGCAACCCAGCCCAGATTTTTTCGATCAGCTGATAATGGCGATTTCAAATATATTTTAAAAATATACGGCCCGGCCCGGATATCTTTTTTAAAAAAAATTCAGGGCCGGGCCGGGCTTAGGGCCGAGCCTGCTGGTCTCCGATATATCTATTCTTCTAATTATGAAACACAAATTCTAAAGTTGTTTATACGCCAAATAAAAAAGTGATCTCTACAGATAACTCTACAGATAACCTATCTTTTATGTCTGGGACTGTTAATAAAGGATCATGATATAAAAAAATTTCAGAGGCTGATTGCAATTGTTGTAAGTTGAGAAGGCATAAATATTTTAAAACCTTTTGGTACAAAAACCTATTTTCCCTTATAAAGGAGTGTCAAATAATTTAGCTAAAATAAAAATTTAAAATTATCTGAAATATCATATAATATTTCTCACATGCAGCTTTCGAATTCAAGTATCTAGTGATGGCTTACTCAATATTTTATCCGGAACTACGAAAGTCTGAAGATTCTGCTCATAGAAGGAACAGGTCTAGAAGTGTATTATCAAAGTTTCGATGCTTAGACTCATATTTTTCTGGCCAAAATATTGAGTTGACCGTTTTTCAAAATCGGCTCAAATAGAGCCATTTAACAACACCACAAGTATCGCGCTTCATCCTCAGCAAACAATGAATAACTTCTAGATAATATACTCCCAAAAAAACTATGAAATCAAATTTCATTAAAACATATATTTTTGGGGGATATTTTTGTAATCTTTCTTAGAACAGAGTTTGGGATTAAAGATTACCATTCAATCTCAGCCAGTAGGAATATCTTATTACGCCCAAAATCTAAATAATCAAAGACTTTAATTTTTTTTTCTCCTCTTATATGAAATCGAAATTCCGCTAAAAATAATATATATATTTATCAGATGGAACCTTTTTTTGAAAAAAAAATATCATTAAATTATTTTATTATGAACAGTGTAGTATAAAATATTAAATTATTATTCAAACTTTTCAAAATTATTTATAGTATAAAAATGATAAATAAGTATACATTACTCCATAGGCTTTCTTTCTTTCTTTCTTTCTTTCTTTCTTCCTTCTTTTCTTTCTTTCTCCTTTGGGGGGGGGGGGGGGGGGGGGGCGTGGTCAAGCTGCTGGCTGTGGCGAATATTTAGATGTCGCATTAAGTAGCGAGTTCTATTCCGACTTCATGGTCTTGTTGCATTTTAAATTTTTCTTAACTTTTTATTTTTGTAATAATATGTAATACCTGCAATTTATCCGCGCGTGTATCGCAAGCGACAACGCGTCATCCCATTTTTACTGGCCAACGATTGGTCAAATTTTTACCCATATAAAGGTATTAAAGGATTATATTTAGTTTTACCTTCAAATTTTTAACCTCGTTATTGTTTAGAATAAATCGATTTTTTTGTTAATAATATTTTTTTAAATTTAAAATTAATAATTTTAAAAAAAAAAATTTTTAATTTTTATAAATGGAAAAATGGCAAAATAAAGTAGTCCTAGTCACGGGAGCCGCGCAGGGATTGGGTAAATGTATCGCCCAATCGTTGGCCAGCAATGGGATGATCGTTGTCGCTTGCGATATACGCGCGGATAAATTAGAGGTATATATATATACACATTTATATTATTATTCGTTCTTTATGCGTTCAAAAAGATCGCCTTTCTTTCTGTTTTTTTGATCGCTCTTAGAGTATCTAAAATATTTGGAGTTTATTAAGATTATCCTTCTCAAGATTCTTTACATAATTATCTGAATCTTAGCCCAAATCGTTAAAGAAAATTTTTAATTTTAAAGATAAGCTATTCTGAGAATTTTCTAAATATCGTTGAACCAGCTCAACCCTTGATGCCCAATAATTTATAGCATCTTTTTTTTCCTATTTCAATTTAGACTCCATGTTGATCATATTGCTAATGACTATATCAGAGAATCTGCGGAGGTCTAAATTTAGGGCCCCGACACTCAAATTTAAATATTTTTTCTTGTAATCTTGTTAAAATTTGTTTCAAAAAAAGGGTAGAAAATTTTAAAAATATGAGAAGTAAAATGAAATAATTAAACTCTGTATATCTTTATATGAGTAGCAGAGTTGTTAAAATCCTGTATCTAGATATAAAAATGTGGTATCTATATCTAGATATATTTTTGATTAAAATATCTGTATCTAGATACTATTTTAGACGATGTATCTCTATCTAGATCCATTTTAAAAATTATCTTTTAACAACTCCGATGGGAGTGTTGTTAACCGGCTCATTTTGACCCCGGTTTTTTTTAAAAAACGGCTAACTCAAAATTTTAGCCCTGAAAAATATTGCCCAAATCCTCGAGATTTCGATATGAGTAAAGATTTTTATTGTATGGTCCAGAGGCCTGACCTCTTTTTATAAAAACTCGAACCGGGCCGGTAAAAACCCGGTGGCCAACCCTGAGGCGTCTACGGCATCTCTGAGTCAGGCCGCTTCAAGGATTCGGACGAAACTCTCGTTCTCATAAAGTTCAAATCAAAAATATGGTCCAATATACATGAACTTGTGGGTCGGTTTAGGGGTTAAAACCGGTTCGAAAAAGATTCAACCTGTTCTGATATTTATACCCTATAATCATTGCTCGAAAAAAATTTCCAAAAAAATAAATGGTTTAATCTTAACTCGAAGATATTTTGAAATTTTGAGAGAATTTACTGGCGATTTTTAAACTGCTCTTTAAAAAATGTGTTTTATTCAATACCAAAAATGTTTTTTTAAAGTTTTTTGTTTTTTATTTTCAAAGAGAAATCTACTCAAGTTTTTAAGAACCTTAAAGATAAAAACCACGGAACAAAATATGTTATCATAGAAATATAATATTTTATATTTAAAAATCACAAAAAAAAATTGATTGGAATTTTGAGTAAGATTAAAGAGGAGAAGAGAAGAGAAGAGAAGAGAAGAGAAGAGAAGAGAAGAGAGAGAGAAGAGAAGAGAAGAGAAGAGAAGAGAAGAGAGAGAGAAGAGAGAGAGAAGAGAAGAGAAGAGAGAGAGAAGAGAAGAGAAGAAGAAGAGAAGAGAAGAGAAGAGAAGAAAGAAAGAAAGAAAGAAAGAAAGAAAGAAAGAAAGAAAGAAAGAAAGAAAGAAAGAAAGAAAGAAAGAAAGAAAGAAAGAAAGAAAGAAAGAAAGAAAGAAAGAAAGAAAGAAAGAAAGAAAGAAAGAAAGAAAGAAAGAAAGAAAGAATGAAAGAAAGAAAGAAAGAAAGAAAGAAAGAAAGAAAGAAAGAAAGAAAGAAAGAAAGAAAGAAAGAAAGAAAGAAAGAAAGAAAGAAAGAAAGAAAGAAAGAAAGAAAGAAAGAAAGAAAGAAAGAAAGAAAGAAAGAAAGAAAGAAAGAAAGAAAGAAAGAAAGAAAGAAAGAAAGAAAGAAAGAAAGAAAGAAAGAAAGAAAGAAAGAAAGAAAGAAAGAAAGAAAGAAAGAAAGAAAGAAAGAAAGAAAGAAAGAAAGAAAGAAAGAAAGAAAGAAAGAAAGAAAGAAAGAAAGAAAAGAAAAGAAAAGAAAAGAAAAGAAAAGAAAGATAGAAAGTGGAACTAAGAATATACAATAAAAATACGAAAAAAATTTACTTTCTCAGGACTTGGTCAAGAACTACAAAGGCAAACCAGGCGAAGCCGGATCTATCGAAGCCGTCAAATGCGATATATCTAAGGTTGAAGATATTCTAAGACTCTTTTGTCACATAGAACAAAAATTTAAGACATTACACGCGTGCGTAAATAACGCTGCCGTTGGTGTTCCGGACTATTTCTTACCTCAGCAAGGCCAAGGCGGGGAATATGACGGGGAGAGGGAAGAATCGGAAAAAAGCGAGATATACGAAAGTTGGAAATATATATTGGAAGTGAACGTATTGGGTGTAGCCATATGTTCTAAAGAAGCGGTAAATCTGATGACCAAGCTCGGCGTGGTCGATGGACTGATAGTTAACATAAGTAGCGTAATGGGAAAGCAGGTCTCTTTATCTACGTTAGACGAGGAGTTCGGTTTTTACAATCACATGTACGTAGCGACGAAACACGCGGTTACAGCTCTGACTCAGTGTCTGAGACTGGAGATACAGCGGAGAACCTACGCCAGTGGTACGAGAATAATAACTCTCTACCCTGGCTTAATGCGGACAGGATTTCAGGATAATATCCATGGTGATCATTTGTCATTTTACTATTTTGATCTTCCAGAATGTTCTGACCATTTTTGTAAAAAATAGAAAACGGGCGAACTTAGGAGCCAGACCCCACTATAAAAATTTCTTAACCTCAATATAAAACTTTTTAACTTTTTTACTCTCTTTTTATATACATTTTCAGGATAAATTGTACTCTTTAAAAAAGATAGAAATATTACATCAAATATGTTTTAACAATACCCAATTTTGACATTTGTTATATATATATAATATAACAAATGACTTTGGATATTCGGGGGGGGGGGGGGTGACTTCCGTCGGGAGTTTCATGCGGCGAAGACGGTTGATTGCTGCTACTTTCTGAACCGTCGAATCCTTCATCATCCCCTGGTGAGAATAGCTGGCGCCTCAGCTCCCATATATATATATATATACCTAAACATTATAGGCTCTCCTTATATACGAATCCCATTAAATGACCAACCAACCTATAAGTATGAAGATCAGACTCTATATACACAGTATCGCTTAAGTTGTTTCCCATAATAGAAAATAACCCTACAAATTATAATATATAATATTTTTAATTATAAGGGGTATTTAAAATATTATAAAATTAATTTCAGCAAAGAATATCTATGAAAAATATAGTAATTTATCCCCGGAGGATGTATGCGACGCTCTTCTGTTCGTTTTTAAATGTGATAACAATGTACAAATAGATGATATGATGATAACTCCAGTGCGACATCCTGGAAAATTGTGATTAAATTACAATTACCTATTTTTATATATTGCATAATTTCGAGTTTGAATATCAAGAATTAAGAATTGTTACTAAATTTATATTATTATTATATAAATAAATCAATGCTTGCAGAATATGGTTCCATTATTTCTTTAAAATATATAATTATTTTATATATATAAAAATGTATAAATAAGGTCTTTTAATTTATCAAGGTAATAAAAATAAAATAAATTATTCTAAATGTAAAATTTCAATTTTTTTTTGAAAATCTTAAATAAATTTAACATTTATACCGCGAAAGTTATGTAAAAATTTATGAATAAATTTAATTCTTTTCTTATCGGTTTTTATTGTTCACATTAGTAATGTTAAAAAGTTACGATTCGGGATCGATTTTAAAATAAACGGCTAGGAATTAAGTTTCTAGGGATTTGGAGTTCGTTAGGACTAAGATTATTCTAGAGTGATTGTAACTCAGTTTAGGGATTTATATAATTGCAAGGATTTTGAATTCGTTAGGACTAAGAATATTCTGTAGGGATTTTAACTCAGTGTAGGGATTTATGTAAAGTTTGTAGGGATTTTGAATTCGTTAGGACAAGAATACTCTGTAGTGATTTTAACTCGGTGTAGGGGATTCAAGGTGATCGACAGATATTTATTTTATGGCGGAAGAGTAAAATGATGGCAGAAATGTTTGGAACGTCTATTTGCCAAATCTCGATGCTAAAATAATATTTTAGCTAATCGGACCGTTTTGAGGGATCGGTCCAAATCGGGCTTTTTAGCGGTACACTCACAGGAGCTGTTGAATAACATTTTTTTATTTTTAAGCGGAATTTATTTTGTGGATCGAATCGATCATATGTTCAATTCGATATTTTGTCAATTGTATTTAATTGAATTATCGATTACTAATAAGTAGATTTTTATATCGTTAAGCTGCCTTCAAAAAATTGTTCATAAACTTAAATCCTTTATTATTCTAAAATATATTTTTTTTATCTTGGGAATAATAGGCATGATGATCAACAACATAGAGAATTCAAAAAATTTACATGCCACTCATATTTTTCATATTTGTCTATAGAAAAGTTAAGAATGCACATGTTTATTTGCTATCATCAAGATTTGTAAAATTGGTTTTTTGGTCTACCATTTTTCGATAATCAATTTCTTCACAATAAAAAAATTTCTCAAGCTAAATAATTTTTTGAAATCAATTTAAATAATAAAATTGCAATTATTAACATTTTATTTTTAAAAAAATGAAAACTTAAAATTTACACAATTTATTCGCATGAATTTCAATTTATTTATTGAAAAGTTTTAAAAAAAGCAATTTAATATTTAGTTCCTGCAGTTACTTGATAATAGTAAAATAATATTTAATATTATTATTTCGTTTAATTGATTTTAAAATTATATACATATTTGATTGTCAGATGATTACAATATTGAGATATAAAAATCGACATAATTTAAATTTAACATAAGAAATATATATTAATTTCTGTCTATACAACAGCGACTGTGATATTAATAATTGATCGGATACAATATTTATTACTTTTAAAAATAAAATTCTCGTTGAATTGATAAATTCCATCATTTTAATACTAACCATTTAATCTATACCCAACACATGTCAACCTAATTCCTATAGTTCCCCTATGTTCAAATAAAACGACACAAAGAATAGAATATATCCTGTGAGTATGATTTTTTTTCTTTTATTTATTTTTAAAAATAAGGCAATATTAAATTTGATTCCCTCGTGTATATAATTTTTTTAATGTAGTAAAAAATAGTAGTAATTTTTTTTTAAGTTGAAATAATATGTATTTTTTCTTCACCGTTATAAAAATTTAATATTCATTTGTTTTAACTGTCATATTTGGATTTTATAAGAAAGATTTTGTTAATTTTATTTAAGAATTTTATAAGAAAAATTTAATGTAAACATTGCTTTACTTGCTTCTATGGAAGTTTCTTCATTGATTAAATGTTAAATTTTTTAGGTAATAGGTGATTTCAGAATTTAGCCACCTAGAAGCTATAGAGTTGTCCTAAGGTTTTCTAAAATCCATAAATTTCGATACTTAATATAGGGGGGGGAAATGTGGAGCTTTTCACACTTTTTTGGGTGAGCCGTACGTACTTGTACAAGTAATAGTGGGTATTACTTAAAAGTATATCACAGGCTAGTCCATAAATTGCACATACAAGTCGGGTTTAAATTTAAATTACTATAAATCAGTTAAATAAGTGGATTCTTTTGGTTGGAAAATACTGAGCAAATAACTTTCTACCAAGTTGGTTATATATTTAACAACCTTTGTTCCAAAATCATTGTACTAGATGAAATACACCCATAAAACATATATATTTTGTAAATAAATTTAAATAAAATTAATTTTTTTTTCCGCGGAGAAAAACTTAACAATAATTTTGATTAGGAATTTAAATCAAGCATCAATCCTATTCTCTATCTAGGTTATTTGACGCATGTTGGGTTATAATGCAATTAATGGATAATTCTTATCAAGAAATCAAATTAAATTCAGTAAATAATTATCCGCCCGAAAATATACCAAATATTGAATATTCTATTTTCAATCCGAATACCGATGCAATATTAGATCCTGATATACATAGTTTACCTTCCAAGTTTACAATTGACTTGCCCAATATTCCATCGATTAATGTAAACGTGAATAATGTAGTATCTGCCTTTAGTACAAAGTGCCATTTAAACTTGAGAAAAATCGCTTTAGAGGCATTGCATGTTGAATATAGGAAAGAAGCAGGGGTAATTTTTTAATGTAAACTTATTAGCTAGTTATGCTTTAGTTGGTGTACATGAAAATGAGAGATCCTTATACAACTGCCACTATATGGTCTTCTGGAAAACTGGTTGTTACAGGAGCTACTAGGTAAAAAAAGTGTATTATTTAAAATCATTTTTTTGTATTGAAATACAATTATAATATTAGCCAAAACTGGTTAAAGTTGCTTATAATTTTAACTAATCTTTTTTTAGGATTAAATTGCCTATCTTTAGTCACTTTCAAACTGTTTTATCAAAGTTTATATCTTAAAATATTGTCACAATCTTCAAGTTGAGGTTCTACCTTTATTTTTAAGTCAAATTTTAGGGTAAAAGTTTTGCTCACTTGTATTGGAGCTGGCTTAGAAAATTTAATAACAATGTTCCTAGAAAATTATTATATTTTCTATGCATCAATATATTCTCTAAAAAAAATTATTATAAGTACCATACCTTTTGGCTTGTTTCCTTAATCTTTAATCATGTTAGTTTGTATTTTTTTAAAAAAAAGAGTTCAATTGGAATAAAACCTCATGACTTTTAAATATCAAAAAGATATCAACATTACTGAAGCATAGAGACTACTAAAAAAAATATGTATAAATTTGTACATATTATAAAGATCTACGAAGCCTGACCCAGCCTGACCCATGCATGGGCTGGGAAATTTTTTAAAAAAAATTTCATAAAAATTTTATACATTTTTTTTTGAATTTAAAGCTACAATACGCTTATTTCTTTGTATTTTAAGAGCTTCCCTAACAATATACTCTAAATTACAATCCGCTTATTTCTTTGTATTTTAAGAGCTTCCCTAACAATAATACTATAAATTCACTAAATATTTAATAATTATTTATTATATCATTCAAATTACCAATGTATACAATAGCAATTTAGATATAAAACACAATTGATTTATAGAATGTTGTAGAACGAAATAGATAGCCATAATGAGCAAATATAAGAGCCTAAATTGACCTTGAGAAAAAAAATGTGGCTATAATCTTTTACGTGCCTTTGTATATGTGGTGCGATGCTAGCTAGCATAAATTTGAGTCTTTAAAAAAACAGCTCTCCAACACTTAACTTGGCATGCTGAGATGCACTGGCACTGGTTGGTCAGTTATATAGGTCTACAAAGCCCGTTGATTTTTATGGCAAAAAATTTTTTTTGGATATATTTAAATATTTAATGAATTCGGATATTTCATGGATGTGATAATCCATGCATAGTGTTTTTAATTCATCTACTCCCCAGTATTATATATAGTTGTTCATTTTGGTGTTCAACTTATATTTCTGTTTAGACCTTGTATTTTGAAAACCAAGCCAGGTCAGGCAAAACCAAATTCCCACCAATCTGGGCCTGAAGATTCTGTCATTTGCAGATCTCTATTCAGTCAGTATTGGTATCAGCTGATGCTTTAATACCCCATCCTCAAAAATAATCTTCATAAATTGAATAAAAAATTAATCATATGGTAAATAAATAAAAAAATGATAATACTTATGAGTGATGTATTTGCTTTTTTAAATATAAATATGCATTATTTAACCAATATCACATCATATGATTTACCTAATGGGCTAAAATGGTCAGTACATCGTGACCCCTGTCAACATGATTGAATAAAATTGTTTTAAAATAGATATCTTAAAAAAGTGGGATAATTAATGATTTGGCAGATAAAGTATCTATTGATTGAATCAACCTAACTGAACCCTTACATTTCATGGACTCATTTATTTTGCCTTATTTATTATGTCTAAAAATCTAAAATATCTTTAATAAATAAAAAAGTAAACAAAAAATAAATAAATATCAGAGTAGCACATGACACCACATTTGTTTACCAATAACAAAACCGTTAATTATTAGTCAAAAATTTCTAATAGCTAATACTTAGCAAAAAAATTTTTTATATTATACGTAGCATAGTTTGGTGCCCAAAATTTTCGATTTTTTTTTTTGAATATTATAAAATTGAAGATTTTTTTTAGAAAAGGAATTTTTGATTTAGTCATCACAATATATGCTCAAAAATCAAATAATAGAAGAAAGATTTGGAATATTGAGTAAAATTTGATCAAAAATTTTAAGCATTTTCTTTTAAAAAATGTTCATTTTTAAAATATCTTCAGAGATTAAAAATCTTTGAAGATTTTGCACATAAAACCGATTCTATAGGTCATCATTAAATTTATTTTTCGAAATTAGATGATGATTTTTGCGCATATGACACTTTGTATCGGTAAAATTCAAAAGTATCCGCCGATACATGCGAGACATTTTTTTTAAAAAAAATATATTCATGCCAAAAGATTTTTTTTTGAAAATTACTAAAATAAAATCACGTGATCAAACAAGTAAATCGCCCAAAACCTAGAAAATATTTTTTATAGAAAATTTAATAAAATTAAAATAGATTATTTTTTTAAAAAATTGATTTTTGACATTTTTACTCGCGTAACGCCATTATCATTTTCCGTGTCAGATAAACATTTTATATAAATGCGTGTTTATTTTTAAGAATTATTATTTAGAAGAAGAAAGATGAGTTAGAAACTGGAAAGTTCTGCTGGAAGGCCAATTTTTCTAAGTTGCGGCGGAAAAACGAAAGAGGGGTAAACCTCGAACCCGGTCTAACCCTTATTAATTATCATTTTTGGGCATCATCCATTTTGTATCGACCGAGACTTATTTTGGGAAGTAGTGGTGAGTATCGGCAGGACCGTTACATCTCTGTTATAATAATATAACCATCATTCTTTTGTAAAAAAAAACCCAGGGATTTGAACCGGACCTGAACCGGGATGAGTAAACCCGGGTTTTTGATAAAGAAATCTGAACCCGAACCGAACCTGAACCCCACTTATAAAATTTCCCCGAACCCAGGAATTTTTATGAACCCGGGCTTTAGCGGGTTCAGTGTATTGTTTAAAATCATTTACGAAGATATTTGTATAATTGTAAATACAAATAGTAATAATTTAATTGAGATTTTATAATATTATCACAATACCTTTTAAGTGAAGTGATAATAAATTTTAAACAACCTAAATTCATTTACGCCATTTTTCTAATTTTTTTTTTTTAAATTTTTTTTTCGAAGATTCCTATTGGAATGTTACAAATAAATTTAAAACAATCAAATACATTCACGCCATTTATTTTTAATTTTTAACTTAGTCTCAAAGATTACTAATTAAGGGAATGAACAAGTCAAAGTAAAAATTATAATATATTGATTTATTTTTTGTTCAGATTAATTTTTAATATATTATATTTTTAATGAATGAATGAAGTGTATATTATAATTGAAATTAAATTTATATATATATCTGTTTTTTAAATTCTATGAAATCATTGCTATTTAAAATTTATCCTCATTAACTCTTTTATTTCAAGGTTTATGACCGTTTTGTATTTTTAAATGTATTTTGCCTAAATTTATTTTTATACCAAATTTATTAGTTTTTTAATATCAATTCGAAAATTCTTAAACCCGAACCGAACCCACCTTTTATTTTTTTACTTAAACCGAAGCCGCGGCTGAAATTTTGTCAGGTTGGCATCAAAAACCAAAATCATTATATAATCTTAAGATCATTCCACTAAATCCACCTAAAAAAAACACATTCCCCTCTTCCCCTTCCTCCGCAATCTGGGAATTAATCTTTTTTTTTTCGGAATTGCCATATGAAAAATAATTTATTTATATTTTTATTTTATCCTGGCAGGAGCGTTTATAAATTAAGTATTATTTTAAAAAAAATATATATTTCATATGGTTTTATAGTTTTCTTGGTTTTCTTTTGAAGATGAGATTTGATTATATATGCGAAAAAATAGAAGGAAAGATTTTTCATGGATCAAAACATATGCTTCACTAAAAATTCGTTCGTTCCATTTTTTCCTTTTTAGATTATGGGGAAAGGAGGGTGATAACCATAGTTTTTATTTTGAGAGAGAAGCTAAATATGTTTCCAGCGAAAAAATGAACAGATAATATTCGAGCCATAGTTTATTCCGAATTTATTAAACGAGAATTCAAATCTCTCTTTCCTAATTTTGCCGGGACCATTTAAAATGGCCGTATCACTGATTCCCACGTTAGTAAATGGCTTTTAAAACCTCTACATTTTTTTTTTTATCAAAAAATAAAAATACCATAATTAACGAACAGCGAAGATAAAGCCAAGCAAGCGTGCCGCAAATTCGCTCGCACCCTTCAAAGGCTAGGGTTCGACGTGTCATTTTGTCATTTCCGGGTTGTCAACGTGTTAGCCACGACCCAAATGCCTTTCCCTCTTAGGATCAACACGTTCGCCGAAGAGCATAGACCTCAAGCTAGGTTAGAGCCCGCCATTTTCTTTTCTTTTTTTATAAAAAAATTTCGGGTAGCGGTCGGGCGATAGCTTACACCACGTGGTAATCGATTTCAAACTATTTTATTGGTTTTTTTAAACGACATTATTGTATTTACATTGGTATTGATTTTAATTTATTATCCTTTCTTTTCTTTCTTTCTTTCTTGCATTCTTTCTTTCTTGCATTCTTTCTTTCTTTCTTGCAACTTAAAGAGCAATCATTATTATATATCTGTAGACAAAAAAAAATGTTTACTATCTCAAATGAATAAAACATACCGATTAAATTTTTATTAATCTTTTTTTTTGTTTAAATTGTAAAGAATTATTGCGCCATCATAATTATCTTTAAAAGTAGCGCCCTCTATAATTGATTTATTTATCCCCTAAAATTCAACAAAAAAATTTAAATTTTTCTCTTTTTTTTTCTCCATCAGTACTTTCGATTAAATATATAGGTGTATATTGGTAAAAAAACCTATTTTATTTGGTGAGTTTCGTCGTTTCGTATTAGGACCCTTTTGTTTTACCGGAAATACGAGGACACTGTAGTGTTGTTGCTCGCTTTGAGCCTATTGTTAGAAACGACTAATACTATCTAAGCTTCGAGATTTCGATGTCTAGAACTTTGTTCTTTCTGCGAGCAATTCAGGCTCGCGTTACATTTTTCTGGATCAAGAATTGAGTCAGCTGTTTTTGAAAATCGGCTCAAAACTAGACATTTAGCAATACTAAGGATACTGAGGATATTTTTTAAAAATAATTTTTTTCGCATTTTCTGAAGGAGAAGCTTTTAGAGGGCTACTAAATTATATGTGATTTGTTTACTTTAGACCAAAAAAAATTTTTTTTTTTTGAGTATTTAGAGATTCTGAGAGGAAAAAAGGCTTTCTTAGAACTTTTGAAGGTACCATAACTCGAGATACATTTCAGCTGGGGGCATTAAAAATTTTGATTTGTACATAATATACACAATAGAGGTCTATATTGGGCGGGTTTTTGGATAATATGGCCGCTCACTCAATGTTTAAAAAATTTTTTAACCAACCCCGCTATTTTGAACATCTAATGAAAATAGTTTCAACATTACATCTCCTCTATAAGTTTTATAGATTAGGAAATTACTATATTATGCTTTTAAAAAAAATATTCAATTTAAATTATGGACAATTTATTTTATCAAATAAAATATTTTACAAAATATAAAATAAATATAATAAGTAATTATAATGCAAAAATAATGATGAATCCATATTTTCGGGATTCAAACACGTTCTTCTTTCCTTCCGGCAATGCTAAATCCTCTTTCAGAAGTAGCACTAGTTGCAGAAATTGCTAATATTTTTCTTGCTAATCTTGCACAAGGGATGATCTTATTAACATCCAATTTACCATATGTTGCCCCTAAGTCGACAAATCTTTGTAAAATATATATAAATCCAGGTCCTTGAACTGCTTGAAATGGCCTAAAAAAGATAAAAGAATATTTTATTAAATTATAATAATACCTAATGTCTCAAGCGCAATATTCTACAAAATTCGCTATTAGACCAGATTTTATCGATTTGTTTAATTGAGAAATGTCTTTTTCAAAATATCCAGTTATTTTTTTTATTATCTATCAAATCTTCATGATTTGCAGATGAACATTGATGCCGAAGGAAGAAGGAGGTGCCACTTTTGCTATTATATTTAAAGATGGAGTCGCAATCATTGCAGCTAATCCAATCTAGCTTTTTGTCATTCTCATCAAAAATAATTTTAAATTGTTATAGACGATTTAAGTTTTATTATTATCTTCATTGTTTTTTATCTTATAAAAATTAATTTTGATTTTCTTAGCAAATCGATTCTTTATTCATATTTTAAAATTAAATTAAAAAATATTATTTTGTTAAAATTATGTTATAAAAAATAAAATTTATATTATTATATAAGAAAATAAAAATAAAAAGGGCAATGTAAAGATAAACAATCATTACTTTTACTAAAATAAAATAACACAATGGAGTAATTTCATTATTCCCCAAAAATGGAAATTTTAATTTTTAATATATCTAAAAAATTATATATTTTAATTTTTAATATATCTAAAAAATTATATATTTTAAAGAAAAAAGTTTTATTTCATTAACCATAAAAGGAGATTTTAATTTGTTTATATGGGAAAAAAGTTTGTTTTTTTTGTTAGAAAAAGTTTTTTTTTTAATTAAACCAAAAAGTTGATTTATTTTATAAAAAGTTATACCAGGAAAAGGCTTTTTATTTTTTAAGTTCGTAAGAACAATTTTTTTATTAATTAAAATAAAAATTTTTAATGTTTTCAAACCGAATTGGTAAAAAATTATTTTAATGCAGACCTCTAATACACAACCTATTTAACCTTCGTGCCGATTTCATCATTTTTAAAAAAAAAAATGGCCGTCGGGAATTCGCGTTTTATTTTGGTAGATTCGTCACGGAATTTCCCGAATCCGAATATTTATCATTTGGATTCAGGTTTTTTGACATTTTGGGAACACGGATCGATCAATAATTTTTCTAAGTAAAAGTCATGGCGGACCTTTACCCGAGACCCAATCCTTCGTTACCCAGAAATCCCGAACTGTGCATGGGATTTGGGAAGGAAGGGTGGGGCAAGAAATGATATTTGAGTAAAGGTCGGCTAAGCCGGTCCTTTGGCCCGGGGTTAGAAGATTTTTGGGTCGGTCCCCAAAGACCAGTTGAAAAATTTATAGCGGGCTTGGCGGCCTCGGTATCTAATAGTTTAGTGGTTAATCGTCGTATTTTTTCCTTAAATCGAGTAATTGTGTAATACATTATTTTTATAGTTACGAACCCGAGTTACATCCTGGCGCTACCTATCAATTAAAAGATCCGAAAGCAACACTCAAAATATTTTCCACGGGGAGTATAACGATAACCGGTAAGGTATTTATTGATTTTTTTTTTCGAACGTTTAGGTTACTGACATTTTTTTTCTGTGAGTGACTTTATATTTTTATAAATCATCAAATGATTATCGTCGAAACGTCGCGATTAAAATTCGCGAAATTCGAACGAATTTAAAAAAAAAAATTTCTAGATTTTATAACCAAATATTGATTTATTAACGGCAATTTTTTGATCACGTGATCGGTCAAAGATTTGATTGAATCATTTTTAAAAATGTATCAAAATGGTGGCAGTTTAAAATACGCGTGAGGGAAATATCATCTGGAGAACGAGGGTCTTGGAAGTTATGCAAAATAGCTATGCGCATTTTACTAACGCCGTAAACCGTTACTTCAAAAAAGTAACTCGTTACTCGTATAATATTAAATAAAATATATTTAAAAAAAATTTTCTTTCTCCCCACGGATAAAATAAAATTATACAGAAATATTTAATAAAGAAATTATTTTTAATTTGGGGGGGGGGGGATTTATTAAAAATATTTAAAAGAAATGATTTTTTATTTTCAAAAAAAGGTTACAAGAATATCTTCACGTGAATCTTAATTCAGATCATCTTCACATGAATCTTAATAATCTTCATTCAGATCATTTTCAAAAGAATCTTCATTCAGATCCTCATCAAATTTTTTTTTATAGAAAAATCTTTATCAGAAATTTAATCTGAATTAATATTTAGATTTGAGCTTCTGTACATCGAGGTTATAGCATATTTGATTTAGGACACTTAATCTACACTTACTAAATGTAGGCTTATAGCGCCCAATTTTCTTTATTGGTTGTAAAAAAAAATGGTTTCATACTGGTGCTAGGGCAGAGTTAAATCATCTTCCTCCGAGGAAATAAGTAGTAGTAGTAGTAGTTAGAAAGTCCTATCTGCATCGATTTTTCAAATTAAGATTTTAGCTACCTATAATTTTATGTAAGCTTCTAGATTTGGCATAGATGTTCCAAGCATTTCTGCCTGTGCACAATATCTTTAGATTTTGGTTTATAATCTTAATCGGACCGTTTTTTAAAACCGGTCCGAATCCGGTTTTTTAGCAACACTAGTAGTAGTGTATTCCTTATAAAATTAAGAATACAAATTAACATTATACCTTGTGGATCGATTGAAATATTAATTAGATTTAATAATATTTTGACCGTATAAAATAAAAAAATATTTGGTGGTTGATCTGGGATTTAAAAACTCGGCTTTTAAATTATTTTATTTAAAAAAAAATTTTTTAAAAAATATATAATTTGTTTTTTAAGAAATAATCGAAAGTATCGTTTTAACGCATTACTCGTTACTTTTCGAAACGAGTAACGAGTAAGCGTTCCTTTTCCCTTATAAAAAAAATACGCCTTTAGTAACGAGTCCACTTTCACCGACGTTACCTGTAGCACTAAAAACTAGTATTTGCAAAACATATAAATGTCATCTTTATTCGATACTATAGCGCCAAACGTGAGAAACATCAAAAAGGCGCTCGAAATTGTTTGCCCGCTTTTGATCAAATACAAAACGCCGGTTCCATCTACCTCCATTCCGCTCCAACCGCTCGCGCGCAAAGAGGACGGCGAAATTATGAGGGAGACCCAGGGGAATTCCACGTCACCAGCTACGCTTCCACCCACGCTCTCGCCTCGTCTACCTTTGGAGTCTTCCCACGATAAAAGGGGGGACACACTTACGAACGCGAAAGATTATCCCAAAACATATCCTACTATCAACGACCAACCCGGGTTTAACCCAAAACAAGACGTGATAATAGATAAAATAGTGTTACCGCCACAGCCTCTCAATGGTCACATAATCGATAGTTCTTCGTCATTTCTCGCGGATTACTTCACTTCCGGTCTCTCCTCCGCTGCCCCTTCCGTTTCCTCCCCATATTATTACCATCAAGAAGGTGGCGGCGGCGTCGGCGTCAACGAGCACGTCGGTCGAATAGCCGACAACCCTTTATTCGAATATTGCTTCGAACCCGCGCCCAGATTAGCGAGCAATTCGGTGTTGGACCAAAACTACGCCTACGCAACCGCCATCGAGGAAGACGGCGAAATCAAGGATAGCTTGAGCCACCTGCTCAACGAGGAAATCGAATCGTCCTCTAACCATTTCTACAATTTTTAGGGCATCGTTTTAACTGGTTACGCTCAACCCATTCTTCCGCTAATTTGGCTGGGACTTCATTTTTCAAAACCTTGTGGAGTCAAAAGAAGAAAAAAAAGGATTATTTTGTTGCATGGCCAGGAATAACCACAAAATCAATTATTCGGTTTTAAAAAAAAATTGTATAAATTTTAAAAGCATCCACAGCGCAACTAGGAGGCGTTATTTTTTTATTATACTCACGAAAATTTTAAAGAAATGCAAAACAACCCCCCCCCCCCCTTCCAATCTCCATTTTATTTTTAAAATTTAAAATCGGATGAGAATGAAAAATTATATAAATATTATATATATATGATTCTTAAATATTTGCTCACGTGAATTATTATTTAATAAAATTTCTTTTTTAATTCTCCTTTTTTTTCTTTTCTAATTCTTCTCCCTTTTTTTTCTTTTCTAATTCTTCTCCTTTTTTTTTAAAGAAAAAGCATTTTTATTTGCCTTTTAAAATTCTTGTAAAAAAATTCGTTAACCGAAATAAACCGGTATTTGTATTAAGTCTCTAATAAAACTCAACTCACTCCTGGGTCGATTTGCTACTCGTTTTTTTTTAAAAAAATTTTTATTTTAGCTAATTTGTAATAAAGAAGAAAAAAAATGTAATTTACCGGAAATACATAATATATCCATTTCCGGCGCGGATAAATATATTCATATTTATTCTTAATTTTATAAAAACAAATCCAATTATATTCAAAAAAAAAATTGAATAAATATTCGCTGTAAATCCTTCATTCTTTGATCGAAAAGTGAAGCGTATAATAATATAAATCGTTCGGCTGTATCTTATATCGCGCGTTCTTATATTGCGGAAAGATTAATCGCAAATTGTCTACTTTGTTTTTTTTTTATTGGCGCGTTAAAATTTTTTGTAATATTTATTTAATTATTATATTTTATATGTATTATAATGCTGATAGTTAAAAAAAAAAACAATTTTCCCCTCTAAGAAATTCCAAAATAATAAAAAAAAATCTTAGCTTTATATTTATAAAAAGCCTATTGGTTATAGCAGAATGTATTTAAATCATTGATTTTTTTTTAAATCAAAAAAAAATCGAAAAAGTTTTTTTTTTAAATTTTAAAATGCAGACCATATGATCAAAGATTAATAAGTTGAGTTATTATCTTATAATCAGATTTTACAAACTATATCATTTTAATCGTAAGTCGTAACTGATAAAGTATCCAGATACAAAATTTGGTAAAAATGAGGTATTTTATTTAAGAAACATAATATTTGAATTCGATTCGTGAAATATTATTGTTCTACTTTATTCCACTAATAAAAACAAACCCAGTTAAACTTTATTTTACTTCAATAAATGACTAACAATAAGGTAAATTTTTAGATAATAAAACTGTTAAAGTTTCCAAGTAACATATAAAATATTTATGGAAAATCTAATATAAATTTTATTAAGTTCTAAAGTTCAGGGACATGTCTGAAATTTATAGAGTAGGTATTCCAAACATGATTGATTGCATTTCCGGTAAAATCAAAATTTAAAAAAAAAACGCGCTTAAATAATGAATGAAAGTTGAAAAATAAAACATAAAAAAATGTCAGATCCAATGACATATAATAATACCCAGACTGACGATTCATTCATTAAAAGTTATACATCAATACGAATCTGCTTGGGACGCCATCTTTACCCGTAATTATTATTAAAAATTTTAAACGAGAGCCTAATTTATTCTAATATCTGATGCAAACTTTATATAAGAATTACCGGATCATCGAGACGAAAGGAAGCAAGCTATCAATTTAATAGTAATTTTTAACATGAGAATAATTACTATACATGTTACCAAAATGGTGGCTCTAGCTGATTTGCTTTATCATGTTCCCTTTCAGCATTTAACATTTTAATTGACATAAATTAGTAAATATTTGGAAGGGTAGAGTACTTGGTTATGTTAATTTTTAAATATTTGTTAATGCTCTCTACCCTGTTATTTGTATATTGTTTAAATGATATCTTTTCCAAGCATCGGACCCTTCATATCTGATATGATGCCAGCCAGAAAAATAGTTATTTAATGATTCTAGATTTAAATTAGTTAATTTTCAAAATATATGTCAGAAGACTGTGCATCTATCATGCTATACAACAGATGCTTCACATTATTAATCATATCATTAGGAATATTCCTTTTTTGTGGGTAATTTCCCTATCCCCCCAAGCTCTGGTTACATGTTTCCTACATAATTCCAAATGAACATGAGGGAATGCCCCAATTTAAGCTTTTCTCCCAGCACAAATTCAGTTTTTTTTAAATTTGAAGTATTTGTGATGCTACATCAAATGACTCCGATTTGACAATCCATACACATATAATATGTGATCTATTATTTCCATCAATTTATACCAAAATATACACAGGCATATGTCTATTATTTAATCGATATGTTGCATCCACACATATAACCTCAGGATATTTTGAAAAAATATACTGCATTTGATGAGTTTCATAATATATACCAATTAGATTCCCATCTACAATATATAATTCCATATTAGCATCATTATCTTCCTTAACTTTATCTATCATTGTAATTAAATCATTATCATAAGTTTTTTTTGTATTTTTGTCTATATTATGCAAATCCCTTAGGGTTATAAACTTTCCTTCAAAAATAGTTTATTTTTTATTTTGGATTTATTTCCTCCTGTAGTTATAGCTTCAACTACAAATTTATACTGCGCATCATTAAGTCTTTGTCTGGGTAATGCTTGGTATAAATTTTCATCTAAAATTAGATAGTATTTTTATAATCAAAAAATGCATTTTTCATTTTTTTAAAAACATTATTTCATACTTTTATCTTATATATATTCTATCAAAATTTAATTAAGCCTATAAGCCTATCCATATCACTAAGTTAAATTATATATTTATCTTAATAATTTCAAGATTATGTGCCTTTACCATGGGGATGATTGTGATTTTCATGCATATCCTTGACAAATAATTTGTTTTTTATGAATGTAATTTACAAATGGAATTGACATCCTAGTTTTATAGACATGTAATTGCGTAGACCTGTGGATTTTTTATTGTACTTTCCACCAAATATACAAAGAAATTTTATGCTTTTACATCTAAATTTTTCAAAAAGAGGTGATTTTAAAATTTTTGAATCTGATATATAAAGATTTATGTAATTTAAATTTTCATATTGCTTTATAGCATCTTGTAAATCTTTATAGGATAAAAATATACTTCTTTCATATTTAAAAGAAGAGTTTTTAAATCTATTAAAAAGGTTTATAAATTTGTCTATATCAACAATTTACCTTTGGTATGAAATATTTTTGAGTCAAGTAAATATTGGGAAATAAGTAAAGTATTACTATGGTAGTACTTTTTGGTGACATTCTAAAATCTGATATATAAAGATTTATGTATTTTAAATTTTCATATTGCTTTATAGTTTACTAAATTTCGTTCACGATATTATCCATTTTATTATAAATACAAATTATAAATAATTCGTTAAAAAATCAGCAATGCTGAGCATCATCATGAAATGATCAGGACTATTCTGATTTCTTTTATGCTTCAAAAAAAGCACATCAGCTTCTTTAGGGGGTTGATAGGGGATAGCACAATGAATTACATTGTGAAGAACAAAATGGGTTGCAATGGTACATGGGCCACAGATATTGAGATTTCCTGTGCCGCAACTTTGTTTCAAACTAATATCTTTGTTTTTTTAAATCATAAATGGCTTTTATTTCATCCATTATTTATTATTCCTGATATAAATAAATTTATTGGTTGTATTTATATAAGAAATTTAAATTATCATTATAGTTTAGTTTTATCATGTAAATAATTATCAATTTATTTATAATTTTTTATATTTTAATAAAAAGTATTATCTAGTCAACTAATTGTATTTGTGCATAAAGGTACATTTGTTGAAGCCTATTTTTATCATGTAAATAAATTATTATCAATCCATTTCAATAACAGTTTTAAAAAAAATTTATTGTTTAATTCTTCAAATTAGGTAAAAAAAAACCCACATAATGGGCAAGATTAGGTGGGGTCTATGCAATCCCTCCCAAAACCATTATAAGTGTTGAATAATCAAACAAAATTAAATTATTTTGAGATATATACTTTACTTACAAATATTAAGATAAAAGATCCATACAAAAAATAAGTAATAACATTTTTTATACAATTAGCCTCATACCCCCTTCTATGCTATAAAGGATTAAGTTTTTTTTTGTATTTATCATTTTAAATTATTTATGAAAAGTAAAGAAAAATAGTTAGAATAATATATTATTAAATTTTAGAAGGTTAATTATCAGTTTTGACTATTGGTCATATTTATTAAATGTAAATATCTAATTTGAACATGCAAATTTATGCCTTAGAAGTAGAGGCTTAAAATTTAGGAAACCAGATAAATGTAAAAAATTGTAATTTTTATTTATTAAAAAAAACTAGAGTCTTTTAGATTTATATATGGCAATTAAAATTTTATAAATTAATATTCTTTGATTAAATATTAGGGTGTTTTTTAAAAAAACTTGGGTTCAAATTATTTTTTACAATTAATAAGCATAATCAAAATGTATTTATTGCATTTATAAACCCATATTCATATTTTTTTTAGTTTTTCAATATGGATTGTTTGCTATTATAGAGATTGTGTTGTGCATATATAACTCTAATTTTGTAAATTTAGGTTAATAAGTAGGTCTTCTTGGTATAATTACTTTATATTAGTTATTTCCTAATCCTTCCAAGCTTCCTAAATTTATATCATAGTTTTATTTGAAATATCAGAATTACACCGGGCTATTATTTTTCATAGAATTCAGCTGAAATTAATTTATAAATGATATAGATATTTGAAAATATGGTTCAGTTTATCCTCTTCATTGTTACATTTAGATTATTAATATAAAATATTACATTGGTAGTTTTTCTCAAGTAAATAAAAATTATTATAAAAAATGGAAGAATTAAATTAAACACATATTTAATAATTGAGGGTGTGATATTTAGTATTTTCACTAATATTTAGTATTTTCACTAAATATCGCAGGTGTGATATTTAGTTTTTTCACTAAATATCACGGGCGTTAGTAGCAGTCACGGCCTTATGATTCCACCAGATGATTAATATTTAATAATTATTTAAATTTATAATAGATACTTTTTAATTTTTTTTTATTAAAACTTATTGAAATTTTTGCCAATTTAAAAAAAAAAAAATTCTTTTCTTTACTAAGGAGCCCTCAAATTTGTAAAATCTCGAGCCCTCTTGGGAGATTTTCCCACTAAG